GTTGAAACTAAGATATAGAACGGGATTAATTATATTAACAAACTTGACTTCCTTAAAGCCTATCCTCTTATACAAATTGAAGCTTTTAAATCGGAGACTATCAAAAATAGCTTCGGAGTAGCTAGTTTAGTCCCTTTTGAACTAGAGAGAGTGATTTTAAAGCTTAATATCTAGCTTCGAATGCCTACCCCCCCCCCTAGCCGGGGGAGCGAATCAAGTCGAAATTTCATACCAAAAACACTAGCTATAGAGAAAGATCTACGTTGATAGGCTTTGTTAATTAAAGCTCTACTTTGTATAAGATCTCGAAGCCTACCTAGCCCGTTAGATTATATATTAAACCAGCTTGTGAAAGGCTTCCGTCTTACAATGCAAGGTGCTATCCTACTCGCCAAAGAAAACAAGGAATTATGTGCCGCCAACGAGAAGTAGAAGCAAAAGCGTACTAGATCTCGGAGGCAGATACCTGCTGATACAGGTTTAACAGTACGAGAAGCTTCTCAATTAATTACTGCGCCGGTAGAAGCAGATGAAGCACCTCTCCCCCCCCGACAAAGAAGCGCTTCGCCGACTTTGGAACCACGTACGCGGGCTATACCAAGGTACAGTGGGTGCAGAAAGACAGGGCATAGATTTAATAGATGTCTAGAAAGATGATGTATTTTACTAGATTTAATTTAATGGAGTTTTGGTTGACATATATGTGTTTGTAATTAGTAGGTTGGGTGGGGTGGCCGGCTCGTTTGTGTGGCCGGCTCGTATGTGAAATACGTTACTAAGAACCTATAAACCTATAAATAATCTATAAGTAACTTACTAAGGAAGCTATATAACAATTAGTTAACTAAGTCTATTATTAGGTAGAGGTCCTAAATTATAATATAAGAAAGATAAAAGAGTGTTTAGTTAGATTACTTATAGATAAATAAATATATAGCAATTATTCTAAGACTAAATAATTATATTTAATTTTAAAAATTAAGAAGATTTTATAATTATATATTATTTATATAGAAAATATACTAACTATACTTCGTACTTTATATATATATTTCTATACTCCTAAGAACTATTTTAACTAACTTTGATTTTTATAACTATAATAATATTATAAAGTTCTTAAAACTAAAATACAATCTATTACTATTATTTATTAATTTAAAAATAAGATAATTTCTCAATATTTCGTAGGAGAAAAGATATTTATAACTAAGAGCTAAAGAGGTGACCGGAATATATATAAATAACAGTATTTTATTATAGTTAATCAGCAGTTTTGTACGTTTTCGTATAGACTAATCAGGATATTTATACTAGAATAGGTTCTTAGCGGGTACCTATGGGTACCCGCCAAGAACCCACGGGTTTTGCGGGTATGGGTTTTAGGTCTTGGGTATGAACCCAACCCGTGGGTACGAGTCCTAAAGTTGGACCCAAACCCGACCCAAAGCGAGGTCTAGAGCGGGTTCTTAGTACTATTCTTCTAGGTAGTTAAAGAAGAAGAAATAGAATTGTTAAGATACTCTATAAGTTAGGGTAGATACCTATTAACTAGGTAGGAGAAGGTAATAAGATAGTTCTAGAAGTCAAAGACTGTTTCTTAAGGAGCTATTAGACTTCCTCTATATAGTCCAATTTATATATAGTCTTGTATGGTAGGGGATGTGACACGTGGAGCGGGGTATGATTCTATAGGCTGGATTTTCCGAGATGATAAGGAAACACGGGTGATTCCGTCCCGAAAGGGTCAGGCCGCCTTGGGGATTTGTTATGCCTATAGGCCTGAGGCATTATTCTGGGAATAACCTTATACCTACTTATATCATAATAAGTATATTTCGATAAGGAATATATTCTAAATCGTATCATATATATTATAGTTTTTTATTTACTTGGATATTTCAATAAAATTTATAGATATTATAGATTAAAGCTGCGATTTTATATAGAGTTAGCAAAATAGGTATAAATAACAGTTATTTATTATACGAAGTCAGCGAGTTATATATCCATTTTAGGAGAATTTATGTAATAGTGGGCATAGTAGGCATACCCGCGATAGGCACGCCTACGGGCCGTGGGCGTTATAGACGGGCACTCGAAAATCCAAATAGCCTACCGCCCACCGTGGACGGGCGATAGGCACCTCCTAGGTGCCCATGGACAGGCGATGTCGCAGTCTAGGTCACCAGAGGGTCCAGTATATAGCGTATGTCAAAGTCAAATGGGATACGGGATAAGGAGGAGATATGGATGGTCCTAACAAACAACTTGGAGTTTTTTTTTTACACTGTATGCCGGAATCTAGGGGTGAGGCAGGTTCTATGAGGGGGATGTTGTCGAAACGAAGTGGTATCGTAAAAATAGGCGGTAGTCCTTGAGCTTATGTAATAATCGGGTCGTGCTCAGTGAGTAGTTAAGTTAGAGCGCTTAGGTCACGCTTAGTGAGTGGGATTAGGCGGCTCAATGAGCAAATCAGAGTGCTCAGGTCACGCTCAGTGAGTGGGGATCAGGCTGCTTAGGTGACGCTCAGCGAGCGAGTTATCTAGCTTATGTAATAATCATGTGATGCTCAGTGAGCGGGTCTAATGATCACGTAATACTCAGGGCGTGCTCAGTTTTACGCAGTGAGCAAACGGCGGCAAGGGGTGAGCACTAAAACGGAAAAGGAAATCCAACTTGCCCGGCCTAAAATCCGATGTATATGAATGGGGAATGATCTCGCGAACTATCCACTAGCAGCATATCAAACGTGAAATTCTTTCTTGAATATTCTAGAACCCAGACCAGGGAGTGGGTCCCCACTGTTTACGATGAGATCTGGGCCATCAAAACATCGACCATGAGACCGTGCGACCGTGCGACCATACGACCCTCGCACGGGTTGAGCGTTGGGAAGGACTACATATAACCGCGATAGCGGTGTTCCCCGAGTTGATGCAATACTTTTCATCACTGCAAGCAACTTTCATATCGCTCACCGAAACTATTCTCAATGTGATACAAACCCAGTAGGGAATACCCCTCACAATACCCCTCGTGAGGGGTACCCCGTGAGGGGCATCCCAATGACCATTATGTCTTTCTAGACTCTTTACTCGTCGATTCCAGAGTGCCCGGAGCCCGGAACTGGGTGTCGATCAGAGACACTAATCTAGATCATATATTGCCTCAACTTGAAGAATGTCTCACAACATATGTTTGAAATATCTCAATTGAGACTTGTTTATACCAATTGGAGAGGCCGTAGTAAAGCGGTGCTACCCCATGTTCCCGGCCCACAAATTTACTTAAGAATAACTGCGCAGGTGGAAATGCCCGCATGGGATTCCCGGTACTGATGAATCTCGGGAATAAAGTGGCAACATTCCCGAAAAAAATTATTCCCGAAGATTCTTTTCCGTTATCAATAATTTAGTACTGGTTCAAATAATTCTTTTCTTTATTTTTTTCTCACTTGCTTCTTTAAAGTTCAACCTTGCTCAACCCTGGAACTCATCTGTTTGTTGTGTTCAACCAAATCCATAATCGATACCCACCATGCCCTCAACAAGCTTATGCCAAGATGAGGCATGCCCGCCATACAGCCTTATGGATGATTACAGCGAGGGAGCTCACCCACAAATCCTTGAAGCTCTTTTGCGAACAAACTCCATACAGCAAGTCGCCTATGGAAATGATGAATACAGCATCAGTGCCCGGCAATTGATCCGAAACAAGATCGGTTGCACCGAGGACGAGGCGGGTATCTTCTTTGTTCCCAGCGGAACCTCCGCAAACCTTATTGGAATTGCCAGCTGCCTAAGGCCTTATGAGGCTGTTATTACTCTGGAGTCGGGTCACATCGCCTGCAAAGAGGCAGGTGCGATCGAGGCAACCGGCCACAAGCTTATCCTCGTGCCTGCAGTCGACGGCAAGATGACGCCCACCAATCTCCAGAAGGCGCTCCAGCAAAACCAATTCTACCCTCATTACGCCAAACCCCGACTACTTTATATCTCTAATGCCACGGAGACTGGCACCGTCTACACAAAACGTGAGCTGAGCAGCCTCTCCGCGATTTGCAAGCAATCAAATCTCCTCCTTTTCATAGACGGAGCACGAATGGGCGCAGCAATTTGCTCAAAGAATAACGATCTCACTCTACGGGAGATCTTCGACATAACCGATATCTTCTGGATCGGTGGCACTAAAGCCGGTGCTCTGATGGGAGAAGCAATCGTCCTCAAGAAGGAGCTAGCCGATGGTTTCGATTTCCACCTCAAACAACATGGCGCTTTGCTGGCCAAGAGCCGTATTCTGGGAGTTCAGTTCATGGAGCTCTTCCGATCAGACTTGTTCTTCACACTGGCCACGCATGCCAATGAGATGGCTCAGAAGATCTCAACCAGCTTCGAGAAGTTGGGTTATAAATTAGCTGCGGAGACGGAGACAAACCAGGTGTTTGTCTCCATTCCTCAGCAATTGGTTCGCACACTGCAGGAAAAATTCCGATTCTATGTTTGGGAGCAGCTTGATGATGGAAACTCCGTGGTTCGACTTGTGACGTCCTGGGCCACGGATGAGCGCGAAATTGATAAGTTCAATGCGTGGGTGCAACAGTGGACAGTGGCAACCAACATTTGAAATGACTCGCCGTCCATTGACTGTTGCCCTCGGTGATATTTTTAATACGGTTCATTAGCACTATAGAGACACCCAATATTAATATAATTACAACTAGAATTCAAAGTTCTTCAAAAATTCATATCGAAATTCTTCATAGATCCAAGTCAGCTGATCGCGCTAACCATATTCGGATACTAATATATCCGCGTAACTCTAGCTCCTCCAAACGTGTGCGACTTGTTCAATTAATCAACATAAATGGTTGGATTGGTGCAATTGCGCTCCTACATTGATCCGATGGCTTGAACTTGTCTTAGTATGCCCCACGATACTTGACAGCCACTTCTTATTCTTACCACGGCCCACTCCACTCTTCGCCATATGTACACTCGATGAGGCTGTCAATATCGTGTGATGCTTGTCGGCAAGTTTATATCGGAACTCTCAGCTGCACCATTTTATCTAATATTTATGCAGACAAGCAAAAGTCAAGTGCGTCCATGAAGGGCAACCGCCCTGTCAACGTTGCTTGAAGTCCAAGAACCAAGGATGTAATTTAACAGATCCCCGCACCTCAAGACAGAGGACACGGAGGAATACCATCTCATCCAAAACCCCAAGAAAGCGAAAGGCATCATCCGCCTTATCGCCGGTGGTTGGAGATGCGGAAAGAAGCACCCCTGAGAATGCCCCCGTGGCTCAAGACCTATCCAACGATCCCATAGCTGCGCTGTCACCGGCAACCGTCATCAGCGCAGTAGAAACATACAGAAAAAAGTTCCCAATCACTAATTTTCTTCATTACCCCTCTTTAATCTCCGAAATATCATCCAACGTCCATTCGGTAGACTCCGTCTTTGTGGCCTCGGTCCTTTCCTTATGCGTACGGTTTATGAAAAGCGATGAACTCGAAGAAGAAGAAACCTACGCCGACTATGCACGCAAAAACCTTGCGCAGCGCGTGCTTGAGGCCCCCTCGCTTTATCTTGCTCAGTCCCTTGTGATGCTCTCATTTTATGAGTGGGGCACTGGGCGACCATATCAAGCTTGGATGTATAGCGGTATGTATCGAATCCCCAACTGGCCATATAGCACTATCTGACAAGCATCAGGCATGGCAACGTACATGATTCAATCCCTTCTAAAGATGGCAGATGATAGCATGGAGCACAATCCTCAAGAGTTCCATGCATCACAAACACAATACGAACAGCTGGTCCGAACGTACTGGTGCTGTTTTGCGCAGGACTGCGAGCTGAGCTCCGGAGCCCGTCAGCACTTTGCACTATCATTCTCCCAGATCTCAGTTCCTCTCCCTATCAGTGATCGGGACTTCACGTTTAATCATACGCCAGCCAGCAGGTTGATGCCTGCTGATATGAATAAAAACTGTTTGCTAGCGAAGGACCTTACGATTGAGCATGGTCTCACAATTGTGACTCGGGGATTTGATATATTCGTACGAATCCTAAGATTTGCGAACGAACATCGACGAGCACTGGCTTCTTTATCTTCGAACGATTCCACCTCCCCGCTCCTCTTGACTTGGCAGGTCCTCAAGGAGGAACTGGATGAATGGAGGTCTCTCCAGGATGTAACAGTTAGGTTCCCAGCTACCAGCGTTCAGTCTCACGTGGCACTCGGGTACGGAGAGTTGTTTGCATACATCAATCTGGTTCATTGCATGAGGTATGTATTTTTATTTTAACGCATTCCAAACGATACTAACTACATCGCCTTTAGCATCCTTTTCCTCCATCGGGACCGCTTCTTATCCAACCTCAAGCCCCATTCCGACGTTTTCCACGACACAAATGACAACGCGCAAGGCGAACCCGACACGATCAAGCAGCTATTTGAAGTCGCTCAGCAAATCGGGGGTATCCTCAATGCGCTAGATGCCTCTGGTGCACCTGTCATATCACCGTATTCGGGCTTCAGCGTCTTTGTCGCGGCTCATATCAACATGTACGGCACAATTGCCCCACAGCGATATCCAGGTGGCCTCAAACGAGCTGAGGAAGAAAAGAGTCGAAATCTCGACTACCTCGAGCGACTGAGTAAGCTCTGGCCTGTTGGTCGCAGCTGGGTGGGTGTTTCCACAACATATCTGACCAAACATCTCAATTAACAATAACCAGTTGCGAACGGTCCAAGAAGCAAATCGATTCTACGAAATGGTCAAGAGTAACCAAGCCCACTCCGCGTCTGGGATGCACAGTCCCAGGAGATTTGCCCTCGCGGGTACCCTGGATGAATATGGTGATATCCGATCTCGTCCGAGTAGAGACGCGTATGCGACTAGAACACGAACCTCTGAATCCAGTGATACCCACGGCTCTCGTGCCCGTGGAGGGACTTCGTCGTCGCCTGGTCTTGGTGGTGAGAACAGCTTTCTTGCTAGAGAGAATTCTGCGCTTGGTGGTCATCATGACTTCGAAACTGATATGTTTCAATGGCCGTTTATTGATGGGTCATGGTCCCTTGGGTTTGATGCGGGATTGGATGGGTTGTGGTCTAACTCGGGGTTGTTTGATCCAAATCCGGCTCTTAGATGATGATAATCTTTTTTTCTATTGGGGTAGATATACGGCCACGGCATTGCTTTACTGGCTCCCTAAAAATAATCACTATTTCGATATAATGTTGTTGACTGGGATTTACTTTCACTATAGATATATATCGCCACGATTTGTCCTTTTTTTTTGTATCTTAAATTATTCCTAAGGGAATAGCAATACAAATATATCCTATTCAATAAATGTATGAACAAATTTCAATTGATCTTAAACATAGATATGCTAGCTATACAAAGTGTTGAATGCTGTACATAGATGGAAATCGCTCATGAAGTCAAGATGGCCAATTCCTTTCATCAACCAGCCAAGTGGTCGAGCAGTAACTCAACCATCGTATCTTCCTTGGTCTAGTGGTGATGATTTCCGCTTGTCATTAATACCGATAAGCGCGGGAGACCGGGGTTCGATTCCCCGAGGGAGAGATTTCTTTTTTTGTTTTTCTTTTTGCTAATTTTACGCACAAATTTTACCGCCAAGAAAGTGGCAGAGAATAACGTGGTGGCGAAGATTAAAATTGTTTTCCTATATTAGTTAATAAGACAAAGACAATCAGACTACTTGAGACATACAGCACCTTACACCTAAATCGGTATATGCTATATGCAGGTAAAAGGAAGGGAAGAAAGAGAACAAAAAGAAAATTCATTAGGGTATTAATGAGTGGATATATAATAATGAAACATTTGACAGCATCCCTCATTAATGTGTTTCGACGACCTGTGATACAGCCACCGTCTTCCTGATGCCATCCTGGTTGTGGATGGAGTCGGCAGAATCGCCGCCCTCCGGAGGGCCGGCAAATGAAATCAGATGACTCTGGTCACCAAAGTTCGTCACCTTGTCCCAGTCAGTAGCAACATTGGAAGCCGGAGCCGATTTCCTATCACTCAACGGATGGGACGAGCCACCGTTCTGGTAGTATTTCTGCGACGAGTAGTTCTTCTTGTAATGGACAAACATGACGTTGAGGACAGGTAGACAAGCGCAGATCAATCCGACGCCTCCCTCGGCATTTCTACTAGACATTAGAAAAAGAAAAATGATCAAGAAAGGGAAGGGGTTCATGACATACCCGGACAAGATGACACGAACGAACATAAGGCCCGGATCACTTGAACCTTTCAACACCATGATTAATCGGTAAAGACTGAATCCAGTGGCCAGTCCACCTGCACCAAGCAGGCCTATCACGCGAAGCTTCCGATTGCGCGACATTTGCAAAGACCATGTCAGTGGCAGTGGGAGAATAAGGATGATGAGGTCACTGACGACACTAATCACGGAGTCGGCGATGAGGGCGGCGGTCTGGTCCAGACAGGTTCCCGGCACCTGGTCACCGAGCCAGTACCTGGGGATGGGGGCGCAGATTCGAATCTTGACGATCAGGGCGACAGTGTAGTAGCAGAATAAGCAGCCGAGGAAGATATAGATGAACCAGACTTTGCCGCGGAAGGGAGCGAAGATGCGGGTGAGAATGGCTAGGAGGGCGATTTTGACGAAGAGTGCCATCGGACAGTAGAGAATGGTCGCAATGTAGCAGAACTTTTTGAATGCGATTTGCTCCTTAGTGTCGAGTTCGGCAAATGGGTATCCCCCACCATGTTGACCGACTAGCAGAGTAAATATGTGGTTGTTAACATGTGGGAAGTATAGCACCTACTGACGATGGATATTGCACAATATCCCATAAACAGAAACTGCATAAAAGTCAGTTTTGGCTGCTAAAGCACCGAATTATTTTGCTCAGCGTACCCAAGCAACTGTACAGGCAACTAGAGAATGGTTAGTAAAATCCCCGAAAAGGGTATATCTGCAGGGAACAAACTCACGATCTTCAACCCCTAGGGATTGCTTGAATCGAAACCGAGTATAAAATCGCAATACTACGAAGATAGTCACGATTGGAATACATAGAGCCTGTGTGACAATATTGATAGTATGCAAGACATCTGTTGGGTTCTCGACAGTCATGATGGACTTGAAGTTGAAGTTCTCCCCCTACAATAGCGGGAACTTCACAAGATAAAGAACTTCACATCGTGAAAATGAGAAAATTAGGGTAGACAAAAACACGATCTTTAGCGGAGACTTGAAAGCTATCGAACCACTACTCTGTCGACTATGTAACAGTGGAGCGCGGACGGTGATGATTACCCAAGGGGGTGCGTTAGACTCCACCACCGGGGCTTTTGTCATTTCTGAATGGTTTTGGGGCATTTCCATGATCCATAACACTAGATAACACTCCATTTGGTTTATACTCCACCCATATGCACGAGCCTCGTAGTGCCAACCAGCCGGGCAAATAGTATCGATTCTAGTGTCTCGTATTAGTCCGATCCAAAAATTTGCCGGTTCGCCACCAACACCGTTGTTTTACCCAAACAGATAAATGGGCCTTAGTTGAACCCTATAATGGCTAGCCGAGGCACGATGACAGTTTTGACAGCAATGCCTTTAATTAGTGATCAACAGAGGGTGAAAAGGAGTTGTGTGTGGTTTTGTGCCTCCTTTCCTCTTTCCCTCTTTTCTCTCTATAATTCCCTACATAGTAAAACGGCATAGAACCAAAAACAAAACAAAACAAAAAACAGACAAAAAAAACATGACCGTCCACTACTTGAACGGCAAAGACTCCGGTCTCTTCAAACCCCTGACTATTTCAAATGGCAACATTACCCTCGAGCATCGTGTCGTCCATGCGCCTTTGACCCGCAACCGAGGAGAACCATTGAATCCTTCGAGCACCCCGGATCATCCCAATCGTATTTGGATACCTGGAGATGCAGTTGTGGAGTATTATTCCCAGCGTGCGACCAAAGGTGGCTTGATAATCTCTGAAGGGATTCCACCATCGCTCGAGGTAAGCATCGAACCCAATTTGGTGGCACACGGTCCCCTTTTTGAGAACGGATAATGACGGAATACCGAGTGATTCCCTTGGAATTGCACGGCTAATGATAATTATTCAAACTTTAATTTTGAATATTTTTTTTTAACTTCGTTCTCACAGAGCAATGGTATGCCCGGAGTACCCGGCCTTTTCAACTCCGAACAAGCCGCGGGTTGGAAACGAGTCGTGGACGCCGTTCATGCAAAGGGAGGGATCATCTTCTGCCAGTTGTGGCACGCCGGACGTGCGACGATCCCTCAGATGACCGGATCTCCAGCAGTTTGCCCCTCGGCCTCTGTGTGGGATTCCGCGACGGAATGTTATTCCCATCCGCCTGTCGGCTCCACCCAGCCCGTGCCCTACGCCAATCACCCGCCCATCGAAATGACACTGGCACACATCAAGCAGACTATTGACGATTATTGCATTGCCGCTAAGACTGCAATGGATATTGGGTTTGATGGCGTGGAGATCCATGGCGGAAATGGTTACCTGCCAGAGCAATTTTTGAGCTCAAACATCAACAAGCGTAATGACGCTTACGGCGGTACTCCGGAGAAGCGCTGCCAGTTCGTGTTTGAATTGATGGAGCAGGTGGCCAAGACTATTGGTGAGCAGAATCTGGCTATTAGATTGTCGCCGTTTGGTATGTTCAATCAAGCGCGCGGAGAACAGCGTATTGAGACTTGGACTCACTTGTGCGAGGGTCTGAACAAGACTCTCCCATCGCTGTCGTATGTCAGCTTTATTGAGCCGGTATGATTTTGTTTGTATCTATCTGACTGTACACCGCTAACCTATCCTAGCGTTTTGAACAAATCTTTGGCGCTGAAGAGAAGGATAAATTCCTCGAAAGCTGGGGCCTGTTGGATGTGACTCTTGATCGTTTCCGCCAGATATTCGGCTCCACCCCGTTCTTCTCCGCCGGTGGATGGGATGATCAAAACTCTTGGGGAGTAGTGGAATCGGGCAAGTACGACGCTCTGTTGTATGGCCGATACTTTACCAGCAACCCAGATTTAGTGCACAGACTGAAGGAAAAGATCCCCATGGCCCCTTACGACCGAACTCGGTTTTATGGACCATTTGAGGATAACACCTTCCATTATACTGATTACCCTACTGTAAATCAGAATTAGGTGATTCTATATAGTGTGTATAGCATTAGATATTAGATAGATATCATACGCAAACCTGCTTAAGCATAAAAACAACCTTGAAAATTTCAAAACACATCCCTGGAAACGTTGGAGTTCAGACCAAGGCCGACTGCAAATGAACCATGGTTCAAAATCGTACCGGCATCGGGAATTTCCGTAAACAACATTTGGACCTACGGAATTATGCATGACAGCTCTATAATAACGTGCGACTATGTAGGCATCATTCTCGGAATTACTCCACAGGCATAAGTGGAGACAACCGCGGTGATTGAGATCGTCGGAAATCACCACTCAACTCCACCGCGGCGGTTACGAAAACCCGATGAAGACTAGAAAAGTAAAAAACAGTACAAACTACGGAGTAGCAAATATATCTCAAAATTGGTGTCGGTAGAGTATTTGACACTGTCATATTACTCAACTCAACATTAGTAACTATTAACAAGCCCAAAGTCCACTGAAATCCGCTTGACACCTCGGGCGGGGACCACACCCGTGTGGCTTCACGGAGAGAACTAGTACATTCACCAACGGAACGGTACGGAAAGGGACGGCAAAGAAAGCAGAAATGTGAGAAGGAAATTAATTATCTCGAGGTCTAACCGAACAGCTCTCCTTTCCTTTACCCCCCCCCCCCCCCCTTTTACCGCTAGCTGACGCTAAGGGTCTATGGTACCTGGAACAGTTGGAATTTGTCGATCATAGTTCTAGGGTTATCCTCATTTGTTACCAATAAGCGAACTTGTGGCGGACGCATGTGAAAAGGCTAAAGGAATAAGCGCGTTGTTGACGAAGGTGAGATGGATCATGCTGAATATGTACTAGACCAAAATGGGGTTAGCGCATTAAGCTAAGGGAATGAATTTCCTTTTTTGAGTTAGGTTGATAGAAAAGATGATAAAAGTCCACACTCCGTATCTAGGGGTGAAATGTGGCAGTGATGATGATTTGCTTTCGCATTTGAAGTCAAGCGTCTTGTTTTTATTTACATGGCATAGATGTGATGTTGAATGAGTTTCTCCATCGATTTAGGTCAATCGCAAATGACACGCACAGGCCACTCAATCCAATGGTGGAATTCAGTTCCTAGAGACTGCCGAATTCCCGCGATGACATGTCGATCCCAAGCGATCATAAGCCACGAGGATCTCATGAACTTCAAAAGAATACACCAGTAAGCAAGAATAACCAGCGCAAATGGCTCCTTCTCCTCAAGAAGACAGATGAATTCCTCATGCCGTCTGTATATCCACCCGAAGAGAGGGGCCATCAAGTTAACACCATCCTTCCCAGCACTTAGATATCGGTATGCTTCCTCAAACATTTCGGACAAGTTTTCAAGTGCATCGATATAAATATGAGATGTGGAACTCCTGCTAGCTTGCGAATCCATAAAACGCCCAAGTGCTTTAAGATGAGACTGATGCTCTCCGAGCTCATCTTGTAACAAGGGGCTCACGCCCTGAATAGCAGGGTCGGTTTGAATCTCCAAGACCCCGGTAAAGATTTTGTCATGGCAAGAGAACAAAGTCGATCTCACTCCTCTCATAAGAACCAGCCATTCAGCCTTTCCTGTATCACTGAACACGAGGTATTCACCAGGTTTTGGACCGTGTGCAAAATAGATGAGACATATCAGCACCGTCGACATGTAGATCGATTGGCAGTTCTCTGAGTTAAGACTTGATAGAATAGCCGACACAGATCGAATGCCGAACGTGAAGTGGTCATCAGCCTGCAATATATACTGGTCTCGTGCCTCGGGGTGGAGGTAGCCCAGATGCAAGGCTGCCAGTGCTAATATGAGATGGAAGATGGACGGTGTGGAGAACCCCCATTGCGGAACGTGAGTTCGCCAAACTTGATTGCGGTCGGTTGCTTCGTCCCCTAGGGTGCGGTATGTATCTGTGACAAAGTGGTGGAAGAGTCGTAAGTCGGCGAATGAGACGGTATCCTGACTATTTTGTAGGGTGCTGGAGCTGGGATCTTTGTATTGGACTTTCGTGGAGACTGTCTGCGAAAATGGTTGTCTTGTTTTATTCTTGGGCTTGCAATCTTCAGATTGGTATTTAGAAGGCTTGAATCGAAATTGTGCCTTCGAAGATTTGGATGGGGATGGTGCTGAAGAGGGCGAAGCTGATGATGTAGCTGGCGTGGAGAGGAAGTCGCACTCGATAGCATGATTGATGCATTTGGAGCATGCTGGCTTGCCTTCGTCACACTGTAGACTATTAGTGGTTTATCATCCAAAAATTTTCCTTTCAGCCCAGTCTAGTCGCCATCTAAAACAAATTGATGACTGGAGAGTATTCAGGGTCCTGAAATAAATGCTGCTCTCCTTCATATCCATCTCTTTCATGATAGTAGCAGGAGTGCAGGTGGCTTGTGAAAGACGACAACTGGACTCAGAGACTTGGGAAGTACTCACTTTTATTCGCCGTCTTTTACAATTTCCACACCCTGAACGGGATTTATGATGAGACTTTCGGGATCGGATCGTCTGTATGTTTTCCATGATTACCTATCACCTGGGGCCTGCAGAGCATCGTATTCGGTTTAAATTTGCCGTTTCGGCCCTAGCAAAGGTCCACGGGATGACGTAATTATTAAAAGAATAGAACACACGTGACCACGGAGTACAGACAAATGTAGGCATAACCAAGCTTGAAGATGTAGAAAGTCAACCTAAGGAGTTGTGGAGTTGGGACATTGGGGTAAATGGAAGAGGGAATGGTTGGAAACCAGCCAAAGTGGTTCAAGTGCTCTCGCTTGACACTAAACTCAAGGCTGCTACGTCCTTTTTATATGTCTGCCTAAGAACAGATCCTCACATTCAGGCCGAAAGTGGAAAATTCGCTAGGGTGCAAATTATGGGCATGATATGGACCATCTTTTATGTTTAGAAAACTTTACATAGTATTTAACTCAAGAATTAAGGAAACATCAATTCATAAAGTAATATACACCATACACAGACGTTTTGTTTTGATACTCTTAAGCGTCCCTTAGTTAATGAGTGATTATAAGTTATACTATAAAGATACATAGGTATTCCTCTGCTAGTGTACTTACCACAGTTGGGTGTCACATCTGCAAGTTAAGTAAATTTACCAAATTTGCCTGGAATTAATGCCCAGTGCCATAAGATCATCGAACCTGTCAGCCAGCTCTTCGACATTTTGAAAAAAGGGATAGCTCCTATCCCTTATCTCGTTTTCAAGCCTCCTCGTAATAGTTGTAGACTTCTCTGTGGCCATTTCAAGGTGGCCCTGACTACCAGGTATAATAAGGTTTCTTCATTCGGAAGCCTCAACAAGGCAGGGGCTATCTGTGCCTTCTGGAAGCAGTAGTAACGCGATTTGGCTGTCATCATTCTTCACTGCAAATTGGAGGGGGGTTACATCGCCGAGATCGTATGTGTTGATGATAGCACCCTTATCGAGAAATTGGGTTCAACGCTAACCCTAGCATGGCGTTATGTATACACTAGTTATAGAGTTTGTGCATGTCAACAATCCCAAACTCCTACTGCATCGAGTCAATCTCGATGCAGTTTGACATCCACATCACCAGTTTCTGCATAGAAACTGCATCTTGCCATATCACAAGATGACACTCCAATCCAGGCTGCTTTCAGCCAATGAAATATGCGAGAAATCAGCTTCTTTCTAATTTAATTACAGATGTATGAGAGATTTCTGTATCTACAGGAGTAGAAGAGAAATCGAAGTCCATAAATATGGCATCAATTCCAGGTATGAATAGATTAGACAGTTTGCAATTTTATTCCTGAGCATAGATACGGGCTTCTAAAAGCAGCAGGGGTTTGATTTATATGCTCTTCCTGCGATTGTGTAAATCTGCTTTTGGGCAACCATGTTGCATGAAGTTTGAGACTTAGCATATATACGAGAATGCATACTGTAAGTTCCCGATTATTCATTTTGGTTGTTTACGGTTCATCCATCATTTGCCGCCAGAAAGTAGATCATACTATTGGCTATTTGCATATTGTTGCCGTGTCATCTTTTCCTGAGGGTGTATGACAGTTGGTCACACAATCTTGAGTCATTATAATGACAGACTCCACACTGTGTTGGAGTCTCCCATTCGACAAAAAGCCTAGAATTGCTGTATTCGAGGATCTTTCTAGCATTTCCACACACTGTGCATGAAGTGTGCTTCTTCCGGGCTGTGGGTCTTACATCCTAGCGCAGGGTCAGATGGGGTAACAAAACCCCTTATATATATTGTAGTGGGAAACCTGGTCCTCACTATGTCGTAAGTATTCGCCTTGCCTGTCCTTTCTTTAAACTATTGCACGGTTTATCGTGTAATCGTTGAATTACGGAGGATATAACTAGATAGTCATATATTGGCAATACACACTTCTTGGGTGGCGCGCGGCTTTTGCATGCAAGGTTGGATATGAAGCTGGACTACGAGTGCTGAATCGACCTGTATGCCTTTGAGCATACTGCCTTGAGCGTTTCCCTCTTCATTATGAATATTGTAGCAAATTCTCTTTGTTTGCGCAGCTAGATGAAAAAGAAAGCAATACAAAGATAGCCTTGTTCTCGCTGTAACAAATTTGATCAAAGACCACATCGCCACCAAGACCAGCATGAAAGAAAGAAGTAATTTGGTCTGATTCATCTGATTTCACCCATAGTAAGCCCCTTCCTCGAGCGGGTTAGGAGCCCCCCCTGGCCACCTTTTATGGAGTCCATCGTTCACAAGTTCGACCTCGCCCTGGTTGGCGAAGATACCATACTGGTTGAAGAGATCGATTTGATCATAAACCCAGGTTCGGCTATTCCAACCTTCTTCGTCAATCTCGTATTTGTGCCGGTTATTCGTAACAATTATGTTGCGGATATCCCTCACCGTGAATCCCGGGTTCACGCTCAGGACAAAGGTCGCTTCCACACCGCGTGGGACCAAGAGCAATGTCTTTTGAAATAGAATTTTGGCTTTAGAACCTTGTAGAACAACAGTGGTTCTGCGGCGGCTAGTTGGTTGACATTCAAGTCTTACCGCTATCATTCCTTCTCCAGACGTGGACAGATAAAAGGCCCAGATGTTTGGATGGTAGTAGTCGGGGGGAGACAGGCATACGGCTCGAATACACTCCACTGGCTGGCTCAGGATTTGGAGACACTCTCCCTGAGGTTGGAACTCGATTGGGTCCCATTCGGGGTTGAGAATTCTGTCTGGTTCTGTTAGATCTTTTTGTTGGCATGTAGCGTGGAGTTGACGTACTGGTCATATAATCCGTGATCAGCATGTTGGATATTAAGAACGAGGGTAGAGAAGGGACGAGAAGTGAATTCTGAACGTCCCGGCCGTGGTATAAATGGCAGAGTATCAACGCGCGTAGAGACACCCTGCGATAGTCTTCAATATTTTGGTCTTCTGTTTGCTTAACGCTCTCTTTTGTTTAGTCTATCTTGAGGTTATAAGTCATCCGTGGTTCTATTAAAGACCTTTTCTTCATCATTATTTCCATTATACAGTGAATTTAACAGCATATAAGTAGCCTCAGTTATGTATGTACTTTTGCCTTTCTTGGTATAATATTTTAATATTTTAATTTTAAATAGCCCAGTTTTTGCTTTTTCGACATATAGTTAATTTATTAAAAGGACAAGTTGATAGACACTTTTCCCTATTACATATTTACTTGGCTTGAAAAACGGTTCTACTACTACGCTTCGCGCTATGTTGGGACTACTTGGATATTGTATTTTTACCCAATATTGCCACCGTAGATGTATTGAGCCTAAATAGTGAGTACTCATCACCTATTACTACAATCTGTAGTTGACTCGGTGACCTCGAGACCTTCCGATATCCTAATTCAGCTATGGCAATGATCTATAAAACTTAATCTCATACACTCTCTAGGACTTCTAATTACTAAATTCTCCGAGATTTTTAACTTGGAATCTACTGGTTGTGTTTTCCCGCAATGTCATATTGAGATCTCACTGCCTGTAGAGAGACCTTGGAAGCCTTTCCCTTGGTTTTCCCTGTGTCTTGTCGTGTCTCACCGTGGAGTCGGGAATATACCAAAAACATATGTACCGGATAATGCCTGGCACTCGAGACCTTTCCGTTTCCGTTTTAGTGCTCACCCCTTGCCGCTTTTTGATCACTGAGTAAAACTGAGCACGTCCCTGAGTATTCTGACTTGACCACGGGTCATTACATAATCAACGTGATCTGCTCACTGAGCATCACCTGATCATCCCTGAGCACCCTGATCCACTCACGGATCATCATCTGAGCACTCTGATTTGCTCACTGAGTGCTCACTGAGTGTAGGGATGAGCGGCCTGAGTAAGCTACATTGACGGAAAGCTGGTGTACGAACAATGTATGGTATGAATGACCAATGTTGACAACTCTAACTAACTAAAATGACAAAACCCGCTATTTCAACAATCTGTGCGGACAATGATGACTAACTATAATATGCACTTTTGTATAGTATGCCTGGTACCCAATATCACATGATGTTTCCGGTATATTACCTAGTTTCTACTATATATTCGGACTTAGTATTCGACATACCCCCTAGTTCTTAAAGCCTACATTTTCCTAGCTTCAAGAGCTATCAATTCCTTTATTTCTAAGTCTTCTAATAGCTTCAATTCTATCAATTTCTACACTCTCTTCAAGTAGCCTCTTGTTACGCACTAGCTAACTGGTCATAGTTAGGTTAGATGGGTTCAGGGTATACTTGCCTTAATACTCCTCGAATGGTCTAACGTCAATGATCGGGTCTCAACTGAGCTAATGCCGCGTAGGGCCTTATAGTAGCCTAAGTCCTTTTGAGCGATTAAGGGACTAATATTAGGTAGAGCGCCGAGTAGATTTATACTAAGGTATTAGTGTTAAAAGATACTCTATAAGTCAGGGTAGGTGCCTGTCAATCAGGTAGGAGAAGGTAGCAAGATAGGTGGTTCCTAGAAGTACAAGACTGTTTCTTGAAGAGCCGTCAGGCTTCCTCCATATAGTCCAATTTATATACAGTCTCCCCATATTGATAGCGGGAGGAAATGTGACACGTGGAGCGGGGTCTCGTTCCCGCGGGGAACCCTTCTCGGAAGGGTAGGGAAATATAGGCGATCCCCCTCCGGAGAGGTCAAACCTCCTATAGGCCTAAGGCACCAATCTAGGAATGGCCTTACGTCTGATTATATCATAACAAATCATCCCTCCTTTAAGAATCGCGTGCCCTTACGCGGGGTGATAGGTAATTAGGAGGAAGTATGTGATAGGGTAAACGATACAAAATAGGTAGGAGCGTGAGGTAGGCAAACAAAGCAAGATCTCGCCTATAAGAATAGGGGACGCGTCCCTTTGTTATGATCCTATAGCCTCTCTTCGTTTTACTTCTACTCTTCGTATCTTACTTCCCTCCCTTTCCCTTTATTAGAATCGTCGTTTCGTTAGCTCTTCTTCGGTTTCGAGGTACCGGAAATATTACGATACCTCGACGAAACCCTATACGTAATACCCGCCCTCTTTTAGAGGCCCTAGTTCGTATTAGGATCCTCTAGTATATATACTACCTACGTACCGTAATTGCCGAGTGGAAGGAGGACTAGACTCGCCCTTTTAAGATCAACTACGTGATAAACGCTAAGGCTTCTATCGCGTATAAGTAGTGTTCTAGCCGCGCTTCGATATATATTCCTATAGGTTTCGCTAAGCTTTATATATAGAGATAGCGGCTAATAATTCTTAGGCCGCGACCGCGGTACTCGGCGACTATTAGGACCTAAGTAACGTACTAGCGTGGGCCTATAAGGTATTCTGGCTAGACTAGGTTGATATTGATAGTGCTAAGGAGGATAGTAGCGAGCTAGAATAGCCGTTTTCTACGGAGACTCGTTAAGTAGTCGCCGAGAAGATAATAGAGCTCTATAAGTCCTTCGACGCCTCGGAGTAGGCTCACCGTAAAGAGTATAGGTTGACCGGTAATAAGGTCTAGGTTAAGGTATATAATAAGGTGGTTTTAAATAAGGTTTTCGGCGTTCTCTAACTATAGTTTTAGTAGTAAACCTAGGCCGACTATAATATATTTCTTATAGGCCGTCGATCCGCGCTCCCTTCTATCGCCGCCCCTAATTTCTTTAATACCTAGGAGCAAAGAGTAGCCCGTTTTTCGAAGGGACTTATACGTCTTTTGCCTAGAGATAAGGGATACGTTCTATAGACCCTAGTAAAGCGGGTGTTTTACGAAGGTATTTCGGCAGAGGTTCGTAAGGCTTAAGATACCCTAGACTCTGATATAGATGATAATACTTCTATCGGGGGTAATAAGATAGAGGAGCGGACTATGATAGATTTCCCTATTCCCTTAGAGGAGATTTAAGAGTAGGCCCGGTTATGTTTTTAGATACTTTTATTGTACTACCGTTTCGGCGTCTCCTTCCCTACTTATTAGCTAGGTTTCCCTTATCTTTTAGGGTAGTTTCGCTATCCCTTCGTAGTAACTAAGGGTTTTTTCTCCTTTTTTCCGCTTCTAGTAAGAGTATATTGCTTTAGTTGTATTTTCTATATCTCCCTAGGGAACCTATTAGTTATATTCCGAGGGCTATCCTTTCTATTTAATAAGGAAGTATTTTTCGTCCTTAATTTATTTTTTATTACGTACTTCTTCGACCTCGTATTCCTCTTCGTCTTCTAAGTCGGGTATCGGTAGGGATTCGCTACCCTTTCCGGGTATTTTTCTCTATAGTTCGAGGAGGGTTATATAGAAGATATTATAGATTCGATTATATTACTAAGGTAAGCTTAGGCGGTAAGCTTATTTTCCGATAGCCTATAGGACGCGAAAAGGGCCGATAAAGCGGGGTACTAATTTTCTACTCCCTTTTAATCTAAGGTTTTTTATTAATAAGCTAATAAGATCTCCCTTTTTAAATTATATCGGAACGTAGTCCTTATTATAATATTTTATTATAGTTTCGTTTGCCTTTCGCTAGTATTCCTATAGTTTCTAGCGGAGGTTTTCTAATTTCTTAACTCGCGCGGATACCGCTAGGACCTCTCTATAGGGAGTTTCGCCCTCGAAACGTTACCGGAAGTCGGGTAAGTATCCTAGTAGGGCCTAAAATAGAGATATACTAGTTATTACGTTAATAGCGTTATTATATACGAATTCGGTAGATCTTAGTAAAGAAGCCTATAAGACTTACTTATCGTCTATAAAATACCGGAGGTAATATTTAAGGGTTTAGTTTATACGTTCCGTTTATCTATCGGTTTATAGGTAAAACGCTATCGAAAGCCTAAGGCGTATTTATAATAGATAGTATAGTTTTAACTAGAACTTACTTATAAATAGTAATCTACGGTCGGATATAATACCCTTAGGGGGTCCGAAGCGTAGTTTAACGTAGTTATAGAATAGTTTAGCGAGGTCTCTAGTAGTAATCGTTAATAAAACGGGGAGGAATAGCGACTATTTCGTAAACCTATTAACGATAACGAGAATCGCGTCGACTAATCTATCCTCGAATATTACTAGTAGTAGGCCTATCACAAAATCTATCGAAATTTCCGTAAAGGGTCGTAAGGGGATTAGTAATAGTTAGAGCTCCCCGTATAGCTTATACGTTCTTACTATAACGCCTTAGTAGATCTAATAATTCCTTACGTATTCGGCAACGTCTAGGTAGAGGTTCGGCTAGTAGTATTTCCTTTTTATTAGCTTAAGTATCCTTATATACCTAAAATAGCCGGCTAGGGGGTTATTATAGTGAATACTTAATAGTTTAGTTCTTAAATTGCTCCCTACGGGGATATAAATACGTTTCTTAAATCGTAAAAGGCCCTCGGGCCTAATACTCTAGCCCTTTGACCCCGGAGTCGACGACTTTACGGCGGTCTTTTAGCGCTAAGTCTCTAGGTCTTCGCCCTAAAGTTGCCTAATAAGCTCCTTAAGGTCTATACCTACCTTAGTAAGGTATACCTACTCGGAGGCGTAAGCTAGCCCGACCTACGCGTTAGGGAGACGGCGCGTACGCCCGAGCTCCCCCTAATCGATTATACTAATCGATTCGTCCCTATCTTTATTCTCCTCGAAGTATAGGATATTTAAGGTAAGCGTACTTATAGTTAGCGACTAGACTATAATAGAATAGTAATCAGTCGTCTATAATTCGCTAGCTATTCGGCGGCTTAACGGCGATATTAGGTTAACCTTATAGTTACTCGGTAGCTAGCGCCGAGAGGGTCTATCCGCGGGATTACTCTTCCTAACGCGATATC